TGTTGACAAATTTTTTTGTGTGTTCTGAAGCTGGAGTTGTGGGCATTGTCTGGGTAGGAGACTCTTTTTGTTCTGCTGGCCTGTGCTAGTAGGAAAAAATTCCTCTGACATTCAGAGGCCATAGTTTTGAGTTGAGTTTGAGACTGAGGATAGCTTAATAATCCTTGTTTGATATTGTTTTTATGTAGAGTAGGGCTATTAGTTTGTTTTATATTAGTAGAGTATGGATGGTCCTTAGGACCACTTTCACGGAACAATGAAAAAATTGTTTTTTGGTCGATTTTAGTGTTTTTTGTCTTTTTCTTGTAAACGAGTCGTTCTTTTTCCAAAGTTGCACCTCCTTTAGATAAATTAGAGAGTGCCAGATAACTTTACTTAAAAGCTGGGATTTAAGTTACTTAGTAAATTTTAGAGATAACGCTGCAGGAAAGTTTTTTCTTCTTGTTTCTATTTTGGTAAAGTAATCTATAGGAAGAGTTCTTATAAGACCAATATTAGCAATTTATAACATATTTAAGATTGGATAATTTAATTAAAAAATTAAATATTAGAATAAAACTTTATAATAAAAATATACAAATAGTTTATTTATTATACTGTATAATTTTTTAAACCTAGTATAGATAATAATAGAACCTCAAAATATTTATAAATAGCTAAAGTTTTTCAAAAATCTTAACAAATTACTAAAAATAATAAAGATTTGCACAAAATATGCATTTTTTTAAAAAATTTTATATGAACAATAAGCAAACTAAAACCTTACTCCTCTCTATATATTTTGGGTCCTATAATAATAGTACTATAGCTAGATTTACTGTATATTAGACTAAATTATTTGCTATTTTTTTTTGTTTTCTTTTATATTTTTATATATTTTTCTTTTTTTTTTTGTTTTTTGTTTTTTTTTTTTTAATGATCATATTTGTTTTTTTTTTGTTTCTTTATTTTTTTTATTTTTTTGCCTCTTTGAAGAAGGAAAAATATTAAAAAAAACTTTTGGCAAAGCTAGCAATAAGCTTTTGATAATTTAATAAATACTTGTTTAGCAAGTTAGTTACTAGAAATAAGAGTATTATTGTTATAGCAAATTATACTTAAGCACTATTATAGGTAGCCAAGTAAGTTTTTTTTTAAAAATAAAAGAGTTGAAGGCATTTAGTTGCTTTAGACTTTTTGTTTGGAAGATTGCCAGAGCTAAAAAAAAAAAGTTTAAACTATATTGATTACTTTTTTGCTATCTGTATATATTTTTACTTCATTATTGTTTAAAGCTACAAGAAAAGCAGTTGCAATTTTTAACTTGGCTCTGCTTGCTAAAAGCTAGTTACAAAAGGCTGTACTATATAGTATTTGTAGTTTAATTTTTTTTTTTTTAACTTTGTAATCTATTTAATATCTATGAATATTTGTTCAGATTCTTGTACTTTTGTACATAATTTGTCTACAGTCATACCTCTTTATAATCACCCTATATAATTACATCATATAAAAACCTCTTTATAATCACACCTATGTCTTCGCCCAATTACTATCTAATATATAACAAAAGACCTCTATATAAGCACACCTCTTACAAGAAGATTTTTTTAAAAAAGTTATTATGGTCCCAAAAGTGTGATTATAAAGAGGTACGACTGTATATATTAATCACTTGTTGCTGCTCTTTATTTGCTATATTATGTTTTTGAGCTTGTATTTTTGAATTTATTTTTTTATTTAATTGTCAAAATAAACTTTGCCAGAATTGATATTAAACAAACCACTAGACTTTTGCACTATCTATCTTGCTATTTTGCTAGTAAAGTAAGTTAAAAACAATATATTCAATATATTAGTAATAGTATTGTAATTTAATTAATATAAGGATAAATGCTACAGTACATACAAAATAAAAATTTCTCAAAAAAAAAAAAAATTTATAAACAGAAACTTAAGGTTTCGCTATTACTTTAATACTATATATAAATTTAATTCGAGCCTTGATTATATGTAATTTGCGTTACATTTTAATGTAAAAAATTCTCCAATTGGGTTTTAAAAAAAAATATAATTAGGCCATGCAAAATTAATTAATTAGTTTTCATAACCTGGCCGGGTCAAAATTTGAGAACTTCAAAAAAAATTTTTTATATGTTTTACAGCTGTTCTCACATATTTTGAGACGAACTAAAAATTTGTCGTTTTCCGAAATCTCTTCGGTTTCGTCCTAAAGGTCACCTAACTCTTCGGAATCACGTCATTGTCTTTGTCCGGAGATAGCGATTTTCCGGAGAGTTAGATGATTCATAGGACGAAACCGAAGAGATTTAGCAGTTTGTCACATAATTTACGAGAACAGCTGTAATAACTAGATGGGGTTTAAAAAAATTTTTTATATAAATTTCATAAATTTTATGTATGAAATTTAAAAAAAAAATGCCGGCCGGCCGGGTCTATTTAAAAGTTTCATGTTAAAACCAAGTAATTAAATTATAATATACTGTAATTGAATTTTTTATAGCAAAAAATTATACTGTATATAACTTACAGTAATATAACTTATACTGTATTTTTTTTAATTATAAATTTACCCCACAGCAAAAGGAGGCAGTTTTTTGATTTTGTAATTTTATAAAAATTGTACTTCTAATACTTTAATTCAAATTTTTTTTTGCCCACTGCCTCCTTTTGCTGTGGGGGTCCCCATATATAGCCAATAAAATACATAAACTATAACTATATTGTTTGCTTTTTTTTTCTTTTAATATAAGTTATAATAATTGTTATTTTTCACAACATTTAACTATGATAAATAAGGTGTAAAAAAGACTTTTCAATAATGGTAGTGTAATGTTACATCAAAAGCGCGATAATATAAGCTTACTCCGTTACCAATCAGAATATGACAAATAAAATCTGATGAGCGATGATTGGATTTACAAGTTAAATTTTTCGTGTTTTTAGAAAAGAAAAAAAACTAATTTTCCTCGTGCTCGACAGATACAGACACCTATTAGGCTTTTGTTTGTTTCCGTTTCTTGTGGTTTGTAGTTTAAGTTTGATATAAAGGCACCAAAATGTGATTTTATCATGTCTTTCAACGCGTTTATAATTTCAATAAATAACATTATAGTCTCAACTTTCATTTCAGACCATTTTGACTTACTCGAGAAATAACGTCTAGGTTTACAAAGAAAAATGGCTTACAAAATTCGGCATACTTCTCGGAGGATGAGACTTATGAATCTCCGCGTTCTGGCCTTCACATTAATAATTTTTATTTTTATAATTAGACTTCCTAGCGTTATAACAGAATCTGTAAACGCTAAAGAACCAGCCAGCACGATAAGTACGAAATCACAGGAGGATCAGATTGAATATTATAAGAATAATCAAACGTCAGAACATTGCCCATATATTCAAGAGCTAAACAGACAAAAAAAGTCCAGATTAAATATAGAGAACAATTTTACAAAACAAATCTTCGCTTTTCTATTTCCTGGGAGTCCTCGTGTTAATTCTATCCTTGCCACATTTTATATTTCATCCATACCAAATTTTATTCTTTACTTTGTCCCACCGGATATTAAACCGTCCTCATTGAATTCGCTTGTTAGTTTTGCAGTTGGCGGTCTTTTAGGTGATGTGTTTCTTCACTTATTGCCACATTCATTTTTAGGTGAAACCACTGATGATGAAGTCCATTTTGTTCAGGTCGAAGAAAAAAAGAATGTAGTTATTGGTTTAGCTATATTCGTTGGTCTGACCACATTTTATGTCATTGATAAATTGATGCGTGTAATAAATGGTGGAGAGGGTGGTCACTCACATGATCACGATAATCATAATCACAAAGATTTCGGATCAAGCACATCGCATAAATCAAGTAGTAATGATATCTCATCTTCAACGCTACGTCAACGAAAATCTACTGTCGATAAAACGATGGATGAAAAACCTGCGACTAAGACACCATCTACCAGCATTAAACTATCAGCCTATTTAAACTTATTTGCTGATTTTACACATAATGTTACAGATGGACTTGCTATGGCAGCATCATTTTATACATCACCCAGCATAGGTGCAACGACAACAGTTGCAGTATTTTTCCATGAGATTCCACATGAAATAGGTGATTATGCTATTTTGATACAGAGTGGTTTCACTAAACGACGAGCGATGCTTTCACAATTCATAACGGCTATTGGCGCATTTCTTGGAACTTTTATCGGAATTATGATTGAAGAAATTAGCCGTGGTGAACATCACACAGCAGAAATTTTATCATCATCTGATGAAGGTTTTGGGATATTGGGAACTGGTGTTGTTTTAGGTGATTTGGTCATTCCGTTTACTGCAGGTGGATTTTTATATATCGCAACTGTTGGTGTGATCCCTGAATTATTAAAAGTTACTGGAAACTTTGTTAAGGATCTTAAACAAGCTTGCATTGAGCTTTTGGCAATGCTTATTGGTGTTGGAATGATGGCGGTTATTGCATGGAACGAAGGATAGTTAAATGAATAGTTTTATTATACAATTAGAACGTACATTAATATGGATTGTTTGTTTGTAATGACTACTAGCTGTAATTTGTATTATTACTGATTATTTTAAAGGTTGAATCGGATAATATCTCTCTGATAACCAATAAATAGAGTTTAATTCTTGTTTCATTTCCGTTTTTTTTTTTTTTCTTGGAGGATTTCGAATTAGTGGTTAGAACCGTTTAACACATAAAATTGTTCCACGATACCAGCTAACATGGTAAACATAGGATGGCAAACGCCATTGCCCGAATCAGCCTTTTGAACCGGTCTAAGCGATTTCTAGTCCGTTGTTAACCTGCGTATACCTCTCGGAATCGAGGTTAACGGTTCAACTAATATCAGGGAGTCACGTGAGGGTTTGTTATAGTCGTTAGAGTTTATACAAGTGAGAGGGTTTATAATTATAAAGTGATTTGGTAAATTCGAAAGAGTACGTGTATATAGTTTATAGAATCAAAATAAAGAGTGTCCTTTATTAAAATATGTATTTACTATCAAATGCTATGGCAAGCATGCCTACAAAGTGGAGCGAAACTCTCCCATTTATATAATAAAACCTATACTATGAGCTATTAATGTACAAATGTCCTGATATCACTAATACCAACCGGCATGGGTACATTGGGTACATTCGGCGCAGCAACCCCGTGATTCATAACCCATGATAAAATAAATTTAACATCAGCAAGGGTAACACCGTAAATTAAGATCGGCATAATACGTTAGTCTATATTCTTTCTGATAAACAACTCGAGTGTGAATGGGATCTTATATTTTCAATTTGTTCATTACTTTGTTTTCTTTAAATTATATCGGTTAATTAATAGAGCTATTCACTAGCAGAATCAGAATATTCCCGTATTCCTATTGGTTGAAAGTGGACTGGTCCTGAATTAGGGATGTGTAGATGTTGTGGTTTGCTGTGATCGAAGCAAATTCCAAGAAGTGTGTAGTTTTACTGCTATTTGCTTCGATTACAGCAATATATATATATTTTCAAGCATATTAAATAACTATGATGATATTTTAACAACAATTTAGTATTCATTTTCTAACTGCATGATTTCAACCCTATCGTGCTTTATTACAAATCCATTTTGCCTTTCATATTCCTTCAAATAATACAAGTCAAACTTGTTATAGTGAAGTGGTTGGTTCTATTAATAAAAATTTTTTAAAAATTCACTATATCAAGAATTTATTAGTAAATTCACTATATCAAGAGAATTTTATATAAACTGGCTTTGGGTCCAACTTCACTATATCGAGATTTTAATTAGTCTTCATTATATCAGGAGTTCACCATAATAAGAATAACTTGTATTTAGCAATATCTTACAATTTAAAATAAGTTTCAATATATAGTTTATAGAAGAAAGTTATCAAAAAATAGCTTGCAAAATCTAGCTCTTCTAGTTCTGACCCAAGAATAGATTCTGTGAAAATGTTTTCAATATTTTCAAATTCATTTGTATTGGTAAATTTTATATTTGAATAATAAAGTATTAGAAAATTCTTATAATTATAAATAAAATTAAAGATATTAATTTACAAGTTTACTAAAATACACCTATGGTGTTTAATACTATAGATCTTTATTTTTCAAAAATATACTAAGTAAAACAAGATTAGGATTTTCATAAATTTTATAAAAACTAAAATTAGAACTTTATATTTAATATATATTATAATATATAAAAATAATTTATAAAAATACACTCTAACTCTAAATTTTATTAAAAACAATTATATATAGTATTAAACATTATAGGTGTATTTTATAATAATTATTAATTTATCTAAATTATTCTTTTCAATCTTATATTGCTCTTTGAATTCTTTAAGTTTATCTACTATATATAGCTCTTCAAATTGTTTAGATTTATCTACTATACACAACTCTTTAGATTCTTTATATTTATTTACTATATATAGCTTTTTAAATTTTTTAAATTTATCTACTATCAAAAATAAATAATAATAATAATAATTATAATACGACAGGGTGAAACTCATATCACCAAATAGTAAAACCTATATTGATTAGCTAAATTAGATGAAATCTGCATTGATTATATAAAACCTGCTTTTGAAAATATAAAAAGTGTAAATCCACTTTTGAATATGTAAAACCCGCTTTTTAATAAATAAAATATATAAAACCCACTTTTAAAATATAAACCTGCTTTTGAATATATAAAACCTGCTTTTAAATATATAAGATTCAATATAATAATCTTAACTTTAAGCAAAAATAATTTAGCAACCACCTAACCAAATTAGATGAAAATTTTTTTATTTAAACTCTATAGATCTATATCAGATTTAATTAGGTAGTTGCTAAGATACCTTCACTAAAAGTTTTAAAAAAATTCAAACCATCTATCAAATTAAAGCTATACTAACTTTTTCTAAAACTTTGAGTGAAGGTAACTTAGCAATCACCTAACCAAATTCAATAAAATTTTTTTTATTTGAATTATATGGATCCATAGAATTCAAATAAAAAATTTTATTGAATTTGGTCAGATAGTTGGTTACCTTTATTCAAAGTTTTAGAAAAATTTAGTATAGCTTTAATTTGATAGATATTTTAAATTTTTTTTTAAAACTTTGAGTGAAAGTATCTTAGCAACTACCTAATCAAATTTGATGAAACTTTTTTTATTTGAATTTTATGGATCTATAGAGTTCAAATAAAAAATTTTTATTTAATTTGGTCAGGTGGTTGCTAAGTTATCTTCCCTTAAAGTTAAGTTTATAATATTAAATTTTATATATTCAAAAGCAGGTTTTATATATTCAAAAGTAGGTTTATATTTTAAAAGCAGATTTATATTTTAAAAGTGTGTTTTACATATTTTATCTATTAAAAAGCAAGTTTTATACATTCAAAAGCGGATTTGTATTTTTTATATTTTCAAAGGCAGGTTTTACATAATCAATACAGATTTCACCTAATTAGCTAATCAATACAGGTTTTACTATTTGGTAATGTGAGTTTCACCCTGTTATATTATAATAATAGAATTAAACACTCAATTGATGATTACTTGGATCAAATTTTTATATAAACAAAAATAAAAATATATTAAAGAGTAAAAGTAGACTTTATAGTAGTAGTTTTTATAAAAATTATATAAGAACTTTTTTATATATTTAATGAACAAGTTAAAAGTATTTTTATATAAGATAACTAGCAAAAGATAGTATCTTTGTATAAATAATAGTGTTTTTGTATAAATAATTTTAGTAGAAATATGTTTTAAATAGTTTTTAAAAAAAAACACACAAGAGAATAACAAAATAAAGCTTTTACTATACTTATTTAAAAATTTGAAATATATAATTTTACAAATCTTTCATCAACTCTTTTTGACAATTATTTATATCAGATTTTTCTACTGAACAAAACCAAAAATTTTGTTGAAAAAGAAAAAAGCACTATAAAGGCAGTTCTTGTAAAGATTAACTTTTCTCTTTATATATTTAATATACAAACCAAAAGCATTAGTATATAAGATAGCTGGCAGAAGATAGTGTCCTTGTATACAAAATTTTGAAGAAAGTAGTGCTCTAATAGAAATGAGGCCATGTTGTTAACAAAATCATATATAGGCAACATAATAGAAAAAAAAAACAACAAATGAGTTTTTTAAAACACTTTTAAAAATAAAATTTATTATACTGTATAAAAATAAAAATAAAAAGTGTTTTTTATATAGTATTATAAGTTTTTTCTAGACAAAAATAGAGTTTTTTGGTTTTTTTTGGTTTTTTTTCTTTTGTTTATACTATTTTATTTTATTTTTTTATTTTTTTTTATTTTTTTATTTTTTTTAGTTGTATTTATTATATTTTTTATTTAAGCTTTTAGTAAAAAAAAAAAAATTAAGAAAAAAAAATATTTTTGACAAAGCTAGCAATAAGCTTTTGGTAATTTAATAAGTAATTATTTAACAAGTTAGATACCAGAGATAAGAGTATTATTGCTATAGCAGATCACATTTGAGTACTATTATAAGTAGCTAAGTGAGTTTTTATTACAAAATAGGAATATTGAAAGTATTTAGTTGTTGTAAGCTTTTGTTTAAACACTTTGTATTTTAGTATATTATACTTCTAAGACAATAAAAGCAAAATTGCCAAAGCTAAAAAAATAAAATAAAAAAAACAAAAGAGTTAATTAGTTTAAAATGACTAATTATATCAAAAGAGATTAAAGCAATTAATATACTTTAAGAAAAGCTTAACTCAGTCTCTATTTTAAAATTTTTAAGTAGTGCTTCGATTCGTAATTCGCAAATAAGGATCAATCTGACAATTCAGATTAAATGTGGATATCCTTATTCGTAAATTTAAACGGATAGGTCCGTAATATATCTCAGATTAAGGATAAGGATTATTTGAATTATAATCCTAGATATATATGTGCTGTGCTTAAAAAAATATATAATCACAATAATAAAACTAGCATAGTGTCATCTCGTTATACTAAAGTATTATTAAAGTAATGATTTTCCGTTACAAGAATTACAGAAATTGGATTCGCAGCTACAAATACGAATTTGAAGAGTTGTGGTATAAAAATTTAGAAACTATACATTCTTCTTTACAAGGCATCAAAATAATCCAGTAATTAGCGAAGTAATTTGTAAGTTAGATGAGAGCTACTATTTGAGTATTTTAAAACTTTTTATTTAGCTTGTAATCTATTTAAACTATATGATTTAAACTTTTTATTTAGTTTTACCAAGACGTTTGTTATAACAAAAGTAAATGGTATGTTTATTCTTTTCTATGTTTTTACTATTTTTACTTTTAAACAGACTTTTATTTTATTTTATTTATTTATTTGTTTTTGATTTTTACTAATACTAATATACTGTACTTCTCTTTGTTTAGGTTCAGTATTGAATAATCATATAAAGTTTTAATAACATTTTTGTGATAGATAGCTTTGAT